TATATATATATATATATATATATATATATATATATATTCTCCTCGTTATTTCTCTACGTGGTATTAGATATTTAAAGCCCAACTGCTTTCAACAACTATTTTTCTTCTTCAACACGATGCCCTCGGAAACCACTTCAACCACAAAATTGGTCACTCCTAATTTACCCTGACTTAAAAATGAAGTAGAAAAATAAAAGTCCCATTATTGTTATAATATTTAAATAAATATCGTAAATAAGTTGATTAAAAAATAACTAATATGTTGTATTAAATAAATTAATAAAAATATTAATTTTAATATTTTAATAAATAAATATTCTTTATTTCTATTTCCCTGCATTAATTCCTCTTATATTGAATGCTATTATTAATTATTAATTTACCAATAGGATTATATTTGAATTAATGTTAAATGAAAAAATTTAATATTTTATATTTTTAGAAACTATCATAACATTTTACTACATTTAGGAGCCAACTCGAAATAGCTCAATTATTTTTCACCATATCATTGATATAAAATAATTACTAATTTTTATTTATGATTAATATTTATTGAGAAATTTTCTTTCATCTCTAATAAAAAAAAATTAGTCACATTTTTTATTTATAAATTCTTAACAAAATATTTATTTTATTAGTTGGTTAATCTCTTTACCACTATGATAAAATGTGCTTTTATCAACATTAAAAAAAAATATTATCAAATTATGAGTAAATATTATTAATACTCTTTTGTAATATTTTATCAAATATAAGATAAAGTTTTGTTACTAAATACTTTTATCAATATTTTAACACATCAATGACAATATTTTAAAAAATGTTACCAAGATAGTGTTTTTGTAACATTTTAATGATGTTGGTAAGTTTTTATAAGTTTAATAAAATAAGTAGTTTTAATTTAAATTATAATATTACTTATATTTTATGGTTCTTATTTGTCTTTTAAGATTGAAGATATTTTAAGTTAGTTACCGATACCAATATCACATATTAAACACTGCATATGCAAAAAGTTAGGGGTGGGTATATGGACTTGAGTCCGCGGACCGGTCCGTAAGTCCGCGGACTTCACGGATAACGGACCCATTTTTTTTAATCCGTATAATCATACGGACTTTTTAGGTCCGGCCCGTTTAGTCCGCGGATTTTGCGGATTTAATCCGCGAGCCCGCGGATTACCCGTTTAAATGTGGACTCAAATTTTATTATTGAAGATGCTTGATTATATTTGATAGATGTAATTGGACTTACAAATATTTTATGTTTGTTTTTAAGATATTAATTAAGACTTTGATGTTTTAAGGTATTTAGACTTTGATGTACTTGGACTTACAAATGTTTTATATTTGTTTGGTTGTGTATTAAGACTTTTAAAGTTTTAAGGTAGTAAGGCTTTAATATTTGGTTAATAGTTGGTATGCTTGGACTTTAAATTTTAAAGGCATTGAGACTTAAATATTTCTATTAGAAATTTAGAATGTGTAAATTTTGTTATTTAAGACTTTGATTTATTATTTACAATGTTTGATGTTATTATTAAAAGTATATTTATATCATTTTATATATTTTTTTTTCTCATGTTTTCATAGGTTTAAATAAAGGAAAAGAAATTTAAAATCTGAGTCAATATTCATTTAAACAATTTAGATTTAATTGGGCCCGCAGACTTATCCGTTTATCCGCGAGCTTCACGGGCCGGATACGGACTTGAAGATTTAAGTCCATTTATTTCGCGGACCGGATTTATCCGGCCCGTTAAAAATGCGGACTTCGCGGACCGGGCCTTAAACGGGCCGGACCGGTCCGCATACCCACCCCTACAAAAAGTATCACATAAATAGAATAACTTTTAGTAACAAATAATTGTGTTATTATACTGTGTATTATTACATGACAATTTTTTTGGTAGTGAAAGTTCATTAACAATAAGTTTTACTATATGGTTATATATATTCTTTGTGTGTCATCCTTTTATTCAATGTGATGCTTTAATTTTGCAAAACAATTAGAGATTAAAAAATATACTCTTTATGTATATTATTTTACTTGATGTGAGACTTAATTTTAAGAAATAACTAAAAAAATAATATTGAGATAAAAAAAATGTTATTCTATTTATAATGACATTTTTTTTATAAAAAAAATGTTGTAATAACCTATTAATTTAATCTAATAGTAACATTTTAGTAAATCTAAATACACAAATGTTACTGAAGATGTTAAATGTAACACAATTTGAATTTGAAGTCTTAACGACTCTACTTCATGACATTTCTTATTACAATATTCATATAATTTTTTGCTGGTCAAAATCTTTCACCTGTTAAATCTCTTCGTGAGTAGCCCAAATATTTGACAGGTATCAGGATTAACGACTTCCTCGTAAATTTACACAAAACTTTTCAACTTGATTTATCCTCTTTACACACTTTTTGAAATCTTTTCAAAAGGTCACTCATTCCAAAATTGTTTCAAGTTAAGCACACTTTTGTTAAGTTCTTATGCGATGAGTTATTGAGACAAGATACATCTTGTTCGTACAAGTAATATAAATGAGTTCATTTAAGTCATCTTCAATTGCATAATCTTGTACCTTTAGAGATTATAACCTTTTATGATTAGCCTTTTTTGTGATGTTCGATTACCTTTAGGATTAACAATTTTTCCCACAAATCAATACAAGAGTTTTTAATGCACTTTATTCTCACTTACACATTTTATTAGAAATCTTTTAAGAAAATTATTTATTCTTAAATTACTTAAAATCAAACACACTTAATTATAAAATTCTTATATAATGAATTATAAAAAGTAAATAATACAAATTAATTTATTTTAACTAACTTTAACTGTAATCTCATACCTATACAAATATTTGTATCTCTCGTTAGTGCGTGTATGTGGAGTATTAAATTAAATGAAGTAGTGCATGTGATTAGAAAAATACAAATTTTACAATATATTGTGAAGTGGAATAAAAAGGTTCATTCCCTATGGTGTTTCTACAATGTAAATACTGCACCATAATGTTAATTTGGAGCTTTTCATAGAAATGTTATTTAAAAATGGACAAAAGTTATAATTAGCAAAATATTTATTGTCAATAAAAAAGAAAACAAAATTTTGATTGTTCAAGGAAAAATGTTATAATAAGAAAAACAGGTACTCAAAAAGAGAAAGTTATAACGGATACAATTTTTATTCTGTTCTAAAATTAACATAAATGATGAAATTAATTTATGTTTATTCAGTTTAAAATTGTTTATTTTGTATTATTAATTTGAAAGAGAGGTTGGGTTGGTGCCGCTGAAATTATATTACAATCCAAGAAAGAATATTTGCAAGTGCATGCTTGTATTAGTTCATTTTTTTTTTTGAGGGAGTATTAGTTCATTTTTAGAAAATAGATTTTTTTATATAAATTTTAATAACATTTTAATAGAAGGTAATTATTTTTTTGAAAATTAAATAATACTACATGTAAATTTCAATCTAATACACTCGTCATATTCATAATTTTAAAATGTTAGGTGAATTCCAAACTTTAATGACACAAGAGTTAACACATCCAAATTCATACATGTAGTTGTATATATTTATTTATTTATTTATGTTTATAATTTAATTATATATATCATTATTTTATTCTGTATAATATGTGGCAGGTTAAAATATAATGAAGTGTTTTAATTCGAATTTTGATACTTTCATTATAATTTCAATTGATAAAATAAAATGTTAGAAATATTTTTATATTATATAATTAAAATTTATAATTTTAGGTAATTAATTTTATAATAAATAAATATATTTTAATATATGAATCTATATTAATTAAAATTTGCAACAAATAAATATTTTTATATTCTAATATAAGATTATTTTTAATTATTGATAATTTTTTAAAATATTTAAATTTAAATAAAAAACAAGAAATTACAATTTTTTTTTCTTCTAAAAATTACTCCCGTTCATAAAAGATAACTAAAAACACTGGGTGACATAATTAAAAACAATATATTAACGGAAATATTTTTTAAGGAAATATATTAAACCAGTGAATAAATAATAAATTTGCATTTTAATTTGAAGTTATACCCAATTACCCACTTTTACCTAATTGTCATCAAAGTTTTGGACATTGTCTGAGTTCTGTTGTGTTCCTCCTAATCCTATTAAAACCTTATTGCCACGCAAACCAAATCCTAAAACCACTCTCTCTCTCTCTCTCTCTCATGGCTCTCTGTTCTCTCCGATTTCTGACCCTCCTCCTCCTCTTCTCCGCCGTACCCATCGGAATCATCGTGACGTTGGAGCGAGCCGAACCCGCCACCCATGTCTACCACTACCAGAGTTCTGGGTGGTTCAGAGAATGCTCCAAGTGGGACTCTGGCCATCGCCGCTTCTTAATTTCTTTGTTCGAAGGTGGTCTCGCTCAGGCCAAGGTGCCGGAGAACGACCCTCACCCGTCGTCGCCCTTGGAGGAAGTCACCGTCGTTAAAGAACCCCATTTGGCCGGAAACGCCTCTCTGGGGATCGCCATTGACCACCCCAGAAATCGAGTTCTAGTGGTTAACGCTGACGTCATTGGTAATCGATACGGTGCGCTCGCAGCATACGATCTCTCCACCTGGAATCGCCTCTTCTTAACCCAACTCACTGGTCCTAGTAAGCTTCTCTCTCGCTCTCCCTTAGACTCAATATTTCCTTCTTTTTATTTTTTACTCTCTACTCTACTTTTTTTCTAAACATGTGTATGTTTTTCGACTGAGATTATATTTTTTAAATCAGTAAATTATTATTTTTGTTATATCAGATAAATGACATGTCACAAACAGTATTGATAGCTTCTAATAAGTATTGAACTTGTAAATAAGAATGAATAATATTTTTTTACGAGTATTTAAGAAGTTCTTGATTTTTATAATATTTAATTTACAATTTTATTAAAAATATTTCTAACTATTGACATTATATATAACAATTTATGTGTTCAGTCTGTATTGTTTTTTAAGAAATAATTGTTTTTTTTTTAATTAATAGAATAAAGATAAGCAATTGTTTTTCATTGACCAAACACGCGCTTACCCATGAGTGTCTGCTTCATCCTTTTTAATGCCATTTAGAATTTAATAAGACATATGGTTTGGATTGTTGCATAAAACAGAATAACGTGACTGTGAGATGCTCAATTGCAAGATGCGAAGTCCAGGGAGGATTCGTGTTATGTCTTTATTTACATTTAGTATTCAAAAATATATATGCACTGCACGTTTAATAAAGATTTTTTAAAGTTAGACACGATCCATATACATCAACTATTTTTTTTCAGGCAAACAAATCTTAACCCGAGGCGTGAAAATTGAAAACTCCCTTTAAAAACCAACCACTGTCAGATTATGGCTGCATGCCGTGCAGTTTAATTTTTAAACTGCGGGGGTTCCACTTCCTTTCCCCTATCTAGATGTGGAATGCTCACCTTTTAATGTTTTTTTTTTCAAAATGTTTTAATATTAATATCGGCAACTTTTTTGTAGAGTATTTTTTTAAGTTATTCTCGAACCTAGATAAAAGGAAAAGCAGGTAAAAGTATATAAAAAAGTTTTACGTTTTTGAGCTACTACTATAATGAGTGGAAAAAAGATAATTCTATCGGCAGAGTATGATTTTTTATTTATTTTTTATTATCATAAAGCTGTTAAAAACCTGGGTATGAGCATACCTAAACAATATTAATGTAAGCAAGTAATTGGAAATCCGATTGGAAAATGCGTCATGGTTGGTACTTGGTAGGTATGACAATAAAACGGGAAGATGGAGATAATAATTTACGATATTATTACAAGTTTTGAGTTTTATATGATGCTCTTCACTTGACCATCTAGTTAGTTTGTGCATTTAGTTAGCCGTCTGATATGAATATCATGTCAACAACATTCAAATATTCTGCCACAAAACTTGTCTGCACATGCGCGTGTCTATTCATATATGTGCACGAAAAAAGAAAAAAAAACATATTAATGGTTGTCAATTGCATTGTGACCCCAATGTATGAGTTATGAACCATGCATGCCAATAATAAACCAAAGGAAAATGACGTACCTACGTACGCCAGTACCTCCTATTGCATGTCGTATTATCTTGTTGGTTCTTAACATGGGGTATAACTTTTCAAATTATGTTAGCTTAGATATTACCATTGGTGGGTCTTAGTTGAGAAATTATAAGGTAATTCAATGTGTCTATGTCCTAATCAATAACTATATGACATCTATTTAAAATTTTTAATTTATAAAATAAAATTAATAACATTTGATTGTATATTATGGAGAGACTAATTAAGAATCAATTCAAGATCGTCTAAATTTTTTGTGTGAGTGTGATTATTGTGAGTCGTGAGTTGTGGCCGTGACCATGTTGATTTTCCATTGGATGCAGGTGACGAGAAATCTTTCGCAGATGATGTTGCAGTGGATGCAGAAGGCAATGCCTATGTTACAGATGTTAGAGGCAGTAAAATCTGGAAAGTTGGGGTGGAAGGCAAGCTTTTATCCATCATCAGAAACCCATTGTTTACACCAAAGGAGTGGTATAAGAACTTGGTTGGACTAAATGGAATAGTTTACCACCCAGATGGGTTCCTGATAGTGATTCACACTTTCAGTGGCAATTTGTTGAAGATTGATTTAACAAAAGGAGAGGAAGTGAAGGCAATAAAGGTAAAGGGAGGGACCCTTTGTTTTGGAGATGGTTTGGAACTGTTGTCTCCTACTAAGTTGGTAGTAGCGGGGAACCCTTCAGCGAGATTAGTGGAAAGCTCTGATGGGTGGAACACAGGTTCTGTTGTGGGAACATTCTTAGGACCTATGCATCGCTTAGCCACAGCAGCAACTGTGAAGGATGGGAAGGTGTATTTGAACCATATGGTTGGAATGGGATACCCCAAAAAGAAGCATGCGATTGTTGAGGCAGTTTTTTGATTCATACTCTCTAGAAATCGAAACAATTAATAGGGATTGAGGTTTACAGGAGGTTTGGTTGAAAGTTGGTGTACTTTTGTATGTTTGGTTTTGTTTAGTTACATTACTTGTGTCGATGGTTTTCCCTTGAATATCAACCTAGCATAAGATGCTCGACTAAGTTACCCCTGTTATGTTGGGTACATCCAAAGATTTTGTTATTTCATGAGAACTAAGAAGCGCACACACACACACAACAAGTTAGTTTCTTATTTTAATATACAAGAATTGAACACATGTTTAATTTAAGTTATATTTATTTAAAAATTACAAATGTTACAAGTATTTAAAAGAGGCCATTAGTTTAAAAGATATACTTTTTTTCTTCAGAAAAGTTAATTGATTAAGTTACATTTTATTTTATTTTATTTTATGAAGTGAAGCATAAAGATTAAATAAGACTCACGATGTCATTGGTTCCATGCTTGAACAATTCTTGGGGATGTAGCATAAAAAAAATACATCTTAGGATTATTTTATTTTAGTATTTTATAATTTTTAAATTACTTTATATTTTTATATAAAAAATTAAATTAAACATGTTTCTTATATTTAACATTTAAATATAATCAAAGATCATTAATACAAATGATTTGGTACTTATGTTTTTTAATTAGAAATTGAGATTCAATCAATAGTTTGAATATAAAATTATGATTGAAAATATTAATTTACTCGTGTGAATTGATAAGAATTTTGTAATAACCATATTTGGTCTTTGTAGTATATGAAGAAGTAGGGTTGTTGATGTTCAGAGTTTCAGAGGATATTTATAATTTATGTTATCCTAATTAAAAATTGAATAAGAAATATATATACATCTACAAAATATTATCATGATGTTCACAAAAAATTTAAATGTTGTAACAATAAGATAAAATTGTAAATCAAATCAAGAAGTAGAAAATATCATATTAGAGAACTGTTGGGATTAAATTTCACCTATCTCACTCATATGTTTCTATGATCATTCATATATGAACCTTATTATCCAATATGATTTAGTTCATGAAAATCATTTTAAACCAATTACTTGCATTTAGAGAAATTCTAAGGGATGTAACTCAACAATTGATTCCTCTAATTATCAAGCTAGACACCATTCATTAAACATTAAGAACTTAACCAACTAACAATCTCAAAGCTATTCCTAGCCTTTGAAATTGATAACTAATTTGATTTAGAACAAATTTAGAAATTGTTTTCCAACCAAATTCTAAACCAAATATTAAAGATGAGAGATCAATCTATCCAAACATTAAGAACAAAACCAAAATTGCTAACACTGAATAATATGTCATATATAAATGAATCAAAAGGAATACACAAGAGTTGATTATTTACATTTAATATTAATCCCAACAAAACAAAAGGATCAACCCCTCTTGATGATAAGAACCAATCCAAGATACAAGGAAAATGGAAAAGAGAAGAAAAGAATTCTATAAGATCCCTCGTTCCTCGTTGATTACAAGATCCTTCAAACTTTGTTCTTTTTTTTTTGTTCTGTTCCTCTCTGTTCTCTTCCTCCCTCTTTTGTTTCTCTCCCCTTCTTTTTCTTTTATATGTGACTCAAAATAAAACAGAGTGTGGAGGAGAGAGATTAAATCGTTCAACACTTTCCAAATTGTAAGGTGGTTTGAGCTTTTTTCATAGTGAAAAAACATCAATGACTAAGTCCCTGGAGATCTACTAAGCCCTTTGAGGTCAGATTCTAAATGTTCTCTGGACTCAAACCGCTCAATACTTTCCAAATGATTGAACAACTTTAAATTTTCCAAAATCCTTGCTCTTTGTCTTCAAATTGCTTAATGCTTAGCCAATGGTTGAACGGTTTTGGGTTTAAGTTGGGAATGCTTGCCTTTTCACCTACAAGACTAAAAACCCAAAATCAATATACAAAATGCCATCAAATCTCAACAAAATATATAATTTCACAACCTTTTGATTCCATTTACAAACATAGAGAGTTTACGTATCAATTTCATATCAAACTAGTTAGATAAGTGTTTAAAATAATCAACGAAATAAGTAAATTAGACACTTATCATAGATCAATATTCGGTGACAAAAAATTATACTTTCTTATATTAAAAAAAAATTTATTTAATTTTTAACAATTATGCAATTCTATTTGTGTCAACATTATCGTAAACAACCAATATTAGTTTGAACATGTAAATTAACATACATTCAAGTAGTGTGAGATGGCATAATAAATGTGTTTGTGGAACTAGTTTACCAAATGTAAATATGAATTTGAACAAATGAAGATATGATAATATTTGAAATATATCATGTGTCCATCCAACCTATTTCACACCACCTGTTTTCTCATGTAAATAAGAGAAAATAGATGATGAAACAACAATGTAAAATAGTCTTATAACGATATATTATCATCAAATCACCATTTACATTTACAATAAATGGTTAAATTTTATAATAAATAAGTAAAGAGGTCATATCAATAATATTTAATTAGTTAATACTGTAATATATTTTTTAGTTCTTTAAATTTGGGATTGATACATATTTTTTTTATCTCTCAAATTTAAAATTTTTGTATGTAATTTCTATAATTTTAAAAAACATTATTTGGGTTCTTCAAATTTTAAAAGAGATTATTTTAGTCACTTTCAATTTGTCACTATCACTTATAATATTAAAGATTAAAATAAATTTTTTTGAAATTATAAAAATTACAAAGATAAATTTTAATTTAAGAGATCAAAAGGATAATTTTTAATACTTTAAAAATTAAAAAACATAAAATTTAAATTTGGGAGGAAAAATTATATATCTCAAAATTAAAAATATAATTAGACAATTATTTTATAATATGATTAATATCAATCCACGACTATTAAACTATATAAATAATTTTTTTTTATTTATAAAAATCAAATTTAAGAATAAAATATTTACAACAACTCAAACCGCCCGATAAAACAACTAAGCTACAACTTTGGTAAATACAAATACTGCTATTTGATATAAGATGGTTGTATTTGAAATTTTCAATGTTGAGTGAAGAAGAGACCTTAAAGTTCTGCTCTGGTAATTATCATAACTATATAAGGTTATGATTATGGTCATGGAGACACGTAGTTAAATTTGCTGTTGGATTTTCATTGTGTGTCATTGCCTCATTGGTCATTATTTGGATGTTTGTCTATGCCTCAATGGTCATTATTTTGATGTTTGTCTATTTTAGTAAATGAGTATTTTTTTATTAAATAAAAAGGTATAAGTTTTCCCACCAAATCCTTTTTTATAAAAATAAAATAATACTTCCTGTCCTGCATATCCAATTCTTGATCAAAGAATATAAATACCAAAATAATTTAAGCCAACAACTTTTAGGAATCCATAATTTGTTTATCACAACGATCATATTGCAAACTTGGCACATACATCTACCTATTGAATTAACCATTAACCACTAACCACCCACACCCACAGTTTATAATAACATCTAGCTAGTACAAAAATTCAAAAACCTTAACACAAGAACTAAAAGCACAAACTTTTTCCTTCACTTTTAACGACTTTTGCAACTGTCATATAAGCTTTCTGCTTTCGCTTACAAGAAGACAGTTTTGGTTTTGGTTTCCCACCACAGCCAACTAAAACTTCACTACCCACAGAAACACAAACCCTAAACAGCAAAACCCTCTCTTTCTCTGACATGGCTCTCTGTTTTACAAAACTGGTGACACTCTTGCTACTCATCTCTGCCATACCCATTGGGATCATCGTCACGCTGGAGAGGGCCAACCCTGCCACCAATGTCCATTACTATCACAGTTCTGGCTGGTTCAGAGAAGACGCCAAGTGGGACCCTCATCATCGCCGTTTCATAGTTTCCTTCTTCGAAGGTGGTCTTGGTCAACTAAAGCTGCCGGAGAATGGGTCTTCGCCGTCACCGTTGGAGGAAGTCACGGTGGTCAAAGAGCCCCACGTGGCCAGAAATGCTTCTCTGGGGGTCGCCGTTGACCCACCCAGAAACCGGGTTCTCGTGGTTAACGCTGACGTCTGTAAAAACCGCTACAACGAACTTGCAGCGTACGATCTCTCGTCCTGGAAACGCCTCTTCGTGACCCAACTCAGTGGTCCCAGTAAGCTTCTCATTCATGGATGCTCTCATTCACAATATTATTAATATATAAATAAATAAAAAAACTCTTTTTTAACACACATTTTTGTTATTTATTATAATTTATTAAAAAAATATAAAATTGTAGACTTAATTGAATTTTTTTTTTCATTGTTAAATTTTATATACTGAATTGATGAAATGTGTGGTATAACAAAATTGGTGAAATTATAAAAAGAGAGTAACAAGATGTATGGGTCTTAATTAACATGGGGTATTATAAGTTTCTAAATTCGTCTGGTGCGTGGGGATAATATTGTGATGTCTCATGCAGGTGATGAGAAATTAATCTTTGGCGGATGACATAGCAGTGGACGATGAAGGCAATGCCTATGTTATAGATGCAGTAGGCAATAAAATCTGGAAAGTTAGTGTGGAAGGGAAGCTTGTATCAATGGTTAGACACCGAGTGTTTAGTCCAAAGAAGTGGTGGCAGAAGCACTTGGTTGGGCTAAATGGAATAGTTTACCACCCAGATGGGTTTCTGATAGCGGTTCACAGCGTAAGTGGGGATTTGTTTAAGATAGATATAGCAAAAGGAGAGGAAGTGAAGATAATAAAGGTGAAAGGATTGTGAGGGATGGTTTGTTTTGCAGATGGGTTGGCACTGTTGTCTCGTACTAAGGTGGTAGTTGTCGGGAATCCTCCAGGGAGATTAGTGGAGAGCAATGATGGGTGGAACACAGCTTCTGTTGTGGGAACATTCTCAGGGCTTACCCATCGCTTTGCCACTGGAGCAAGAGCAACTGTCAAAATGAACTATATGATTGGAATGGGATACCCCAAAGTGAACCATGCAATTCTTGAGGCTGTTTTTTAATCTTTCAATATAAAATTTTGTGAGTAGAGGGTTTTGGTACCCTCTGTACGGACAGCGAATCAGGTGATGCCACGTGTTCCTTTACTCCATGTCATCCAGTGTGTTGAAAGTTTGATCAGAAATTGGGTAATTGGATCTGATCCGCCCCTGCACCATGATCCAACAAACCAACCCGGGTCCCAAAATTTTTCCATTTATAAGGACATGAGATTTTCCTTGTCGGAATTGATCCCCTAGAATCCAAATTTTCAAAATGATTCTAGGGACCACATTGACCACCATGAACTGGTTGTGGTAGTACCCATCGAATCTCTCCTGCTCCCTAATGTCCTTCAGTATCACGAAGTGCGACTTAACCCCGAAGAACCGCACGTGGTACGCTATCCACTCCCTCACGCGCTGCGGGTTCAGGTCCCCGAACAGCGACGACCCGCAGTATAAGTAATCGTATTTTGGTTCCGACACGAATAACGAGGCGTTTAAGGTTCCCGGTTTTTCGTGGAGGACCTCGATCGTGTCGGTGGTGTTGGGCTGGCGTCGCCGCCGCCGGAGGTGGAGGCGCGGAGGATGAGGCTGCCGCCGGCGTTGTCGGCGTTGAGGGTGGTGTGCTTTGATACCTATTCTCCCAATTCAATTTATAAGGACATGACATTTTCCTCGTCGGAATTGATCCCCTAGAATCCAAATTTTCAAAATGATTCTAGGGACCCAGGTTGGTTTGTTGGATCATGGTGCAGGGGCGGATCAGATCCAATTACCCAATTTCTGGTCAAACTTTCAACATGCTGGATGACATGGAGTAAAGGAACACGTGGCATCACCTGATTCGCTGTCCGTACAAAGGGCACCAAAACCCTCTACTCACAAAGGGCACGCAAGGAATCGCCTAACATTTAATTAAAATATATTATTCATCTTCTTCTTTAGTTTATTTTTCTCTTTTACATAATTGAAACTCATCTCTCAATTATAACACCTAAAATAAAAAGAGTTAATCTCATACAAATTCAAAAGTTGATTCAAATATTTATTATAATAAACTTTATCTTAATATTTTTTTAATGAATCAAGGGAAATGGCAAGGGTATATAATATTTATTTAAAAAACTGGTATAAATTAAAGTGACTTAACAAGGACTAAATTTCCACAATCTTCGCCGTAGAGTTTTATTAGTTAAACCATCACGCTACTAACTTTTTGAATTATAACTTAAATATTATATTAAATTTCTTTTTATATTTATATATATAAGTATAACTGCTTAAATTAATTGTTTTTTTTCTTATTTAACGTTAATTTAATTTAATTTTAATAAATAATAAATTTATTTGATAATAATAATAAATTTTTAGTAAAGTAATTTTATAATTTATTATTTAATATATTTTTGTTGAATAAATATAAGTATATAATCACTTTTTATCTTTTTTATTTCTTTTCAAGTATTTTTCTCATTTTTAATATATCAGTAATGTTATATTTCTATTTTAGTATTATAAAATTTATATTATTTATTGTATGAAAAATATATTAAATAATAAACATGCAAATATCATATTATTTATTTTTTATATTTATATTTATTGGATAAAAAAAAAATAGAGCAAATATCCATTTTTTTAGAAATTATATGTATCTTCCATAGAAGATAATATTGTTTAAATCAAGTAAAATTACTATATGATTACTAAAATAAACAGATAAAAAAATCATGGATGTCAAAACTCTCAATAAAAATGCACTAAGTTACAGAAATGAATTGGTATAACTAATTTTGGAAGAAAAAAAAAGACTCAATTTTAAAAATTAGTACATAACATGGATTTACCCACAATTTTCCTCCATTTTGACTGTCAATATTTAAAAGGTTACAATAGTTCAATTATATTTAAAGTAAAAAAAATTATACTGTAATTCAATCCGAATCAAACAAACTTACCATACATATTTCAGGTTATTTATCAATTGACGAAGCATAATCTGTCTATAGACATGATGAAAGCGTGTTTGTTGCTGGTCCTGATTATGCTTGTATATGCTGCCTGACCAGGCTTAGTGTCTGCATCTTTGTTTTATTTCTGTTCCATCTTCCTCACCAAAAAAGGGAAGAAATACCTACAAAGAAAGTTGGATAATAATATAGATGGGTAGAGACCCTTCACCATGAATTTAACAAATATCTTCAAGTTATGTGATTATGATAATTAAATATCATAAATTTCAAAGAAAACAAATTTTTATAAATATATAATCTTGTAAGTAATATTTATTTATATTTCAATGAAAAGTAAAAGTTAACATGAAATTAATTAACAAAATATTGATAAAATTTTATAAACTTAAAAATTAATGTATCCTCTCTTATGTTAAAAATTAAGATTCCTTATTCAAAAGGTTTTAATGCATACACTTTGCCCATTTTATTTTATTTTTCTATTAAAGTTCCATTAAATTTTGTTATAAAAAAAATTCTCACTAAAATACCATTTACACTAACATCTTTTCAGGGATCTAAATATTACACCATTTTTTTATATGTTAAAATAAACATTTTTCTCCCATAAAAAAATTCAAATATGTTACATTTTAATAATTTATATCTTAATATTTTTGAAATAATTATTAATTTTGCTAAAATTAACTGGATATCTTAAAAAAATTATTTTCATTATTATTTTTATAAAATATTTTTAAAGTTATATATCAAAATAAAAATAATATATATATATATATAAGTATAATAAAATCAAATACAAGTGTTAAGATATTATTTAAT